ACTTGGAAACAGACAACATCCAAGTTCCTTCAAAAAGGAAAAGAAAAAAAAAACTAGCATCAACCATACAATAACATGGCAAAAGAAGCTTTTATTTTTCTCTCACAGCCACAATATGAAATTTTACATGAGGGAAAAGAAAGATTTTAAAGATTTTTTTTTCTTATCACTTGTAACTGATTTCAGAACCTCACACAAAGTATTAAATAGCAGTGTCTATCAACAGGTGAATGGACAAACAATGCATGTGCTCGAAAAAAAAACACTCATATACTCAACAACATGGTTAAATCTTGTAAACCTTCATTCTCAGTGAAAGAAGCCAAACACACTAGCATACACACTGTATGATTCCATTCATGTAAAATATAAACTAATTTATAGTCAAAAAAGCAGATCAACAGTTGCCTGGGGCCAGAGCAGAAAGAAGAGTCAACCACAAAGGGTAAGAGGAATCTCTGGCAGTGAACAGGAATGTCCTGTCTTGATTTTAGTGGGGCCTTCATGGGTGGATGCAAATGTTAAGCTCATCAAATTACATGTCTTAAAAGGATGTACTTTCTTATATGTAAATTATTCCTCAAAGTTGGTAAGGAAAAACATTTTAAATGGCATTTAGACTCTAATTATTTAATGGGATTTTCTAATTAGCATTAACTCCTAACTACTATTTACTTTTTACTTCAGTCTTCAAGTAAAAGTAGTCTACTATGAGGTAGGTCTCCTATCATTAGAAAAACCGGATGCTAGTCTGTATCCTTAGCTATCAACTACTGAGTAAGGGGGTTTTTTTAGTGCATAATTCATAAGAGCGCCATTAAGTAAAACACAAAGAAGTCTATTCTTTGCAAATTATGAGACACACCATTTACAGAAATATTACTATGTAAATCAACTTTTGAGAACACTGCTCCTATTTTAAACTTCTAACATCTTTAATCCCTCTTAAATCAACACCAAATACAGAAAAAGAACAAAAGGATTACTTTATATATTTATATATTAAGGATTTAATGTTTTCCCCTCCCTCTCATAGTGTTCTTTCAGCAAAGGAAACAATTACCATAAGCAGATAGAAGAAAATCTTGATGGATTACTCTGTTCTGTTGAATCTACCATAAAATAAACAAGAAAGGGAAATTCAGATTAAAGCAACTATCCCTTTTAAAAGTAATCATGGTGCACTAAGGGATTGCTAGAGGTGAACAGACAATGTAATTTAGAACACTATATTCTGCATTTAAGCATAAAGAAAAAAACACAAAAATTCTTAAATAATCCTGTTTATAAGGCCAAAACGGCCTTAAGGTAGTGTTTCTCAAATGGAGTCTGGATAGTATTCTTGGGTGGCCTATTTCTATGTTTGTGACTTTATAACTGCGGTTTTAGAATAAAAGGCCAAAAGACAACACACTGTAAGAATGAAGGCTGGTACTTTAAATAGATTAAAATAATGGAAAGATTGAGCCATCCTAATACACCGCAGATATACCGCAGTACAGGAATATCAAATTCTGAAGAACCAGGACTAAAGTGGTCACTATCGTATTTATCTGCAAGCTGATGTTCTGCACACAGATCCCATCTTTGCATCTACCACCATTCACCAACTGTTTGTGGTTAGAAAGAAAAGTAGTAAATACAAAATGAAAAATTTTGTGTATTCTTTATACAGTATTTTTTAGTTTCTCAGCATACCATTCTGGGGTTTGAATCAGTCGTTAAAGAATTCTGTGCAAAAAGGGAATAGTGACAACAAATTGTTTTCGCTGTGATAATGAATACAACTCAAATGATGGTTCATAATACTTAAAATGGAAAAAATCAAATTGTTATAGCTGTACACAATAAGTATAAAGAGTTTATATTTAGTTTTATGTTAGTACATATGTAATTAATTTTGTACTAACAATAAGTAAATTCTGGCAGATTCTGAGAATTTGTCTCAATCGAGAAACACTGTCTCAAAGGAATAAAATTTTCAATATACATTATGGTACAATATATCAATGTCTTTCATATTAAGAAAAAAAACCAGGAGCTATAGAAAGGTATAGAAAGTTTAAGAATAAATTGTAACTATAAATGGAAAGAGTATAAAACCTGAGAAACTGTATGCAACAAATTAAGTCTCTCTGAAAAAATGAAACCCATTTTCACAGAAGTATAGAAATATCTGTTACTGTTTGTACTTATAAAAATGTTAAAAGTTGATTTCCTATCAAGATGGAGTAAGTAGGTAAACCCTGTGCTTGCCTCCTCCTCTCACGACCACATCAAAATTACGACTACACTACAGAATAACCATCACTGAGAATCGTCTGAAGTCTCGCTAAACAGAAGTCCTACAACTAAGGACATACAGAAGAAGCCACCTTGAGACTGGTAGAAGGGGTGAAGGAGCTGGTCGCACACCCACATGTGGCAGTTAAAAATGAGGAGAAATGTTTCAGCTGCAGAGGTCTGCCATAGGAGTGAGGGGTCCCAGCCCCACAACAGGCTTCCCAGACCAAGATTCCACTGCCAGGAAGACAAGTCCCCACAACTTCTGGCTGTGAAACCCAGCAGAGATTGTGGCTGAGTGAGATAGAGGGCTGCTGGAGTCCCAGGTGTCCCTCGTAAAGGGCCTGCACATGGACTTACTCACTCACTCTGAGCTCCAGCACTGGGACAGCAGCTTGAAAAGTGTCAGGTACATAAGGAGAGAAACTGAGTTGTCTGCCTTCAGGGTAAAGGCTGGAGGGGCAGCTTTTTCACAGACAAAAGTGTGGAAGAAGCCATATTTCGTTATTAAGCCCTCCCCAATCCTGGTGTGCAGACGCAGGTGGCCCCCATATCTGAGTCTTCCCCAATCAGGCTAACACTGTTCACCTCACCCTGGTGATTCCCTGAGACGATGCCCAACCCAAATTGCAGACCCACTCAAGCCGTTTCCATTAAGTAGTTTTTCCATACAAAAGGCCTGTCTTGGGTCATGTTGCGGACTTTCCTAAAATCTCTCAAAGTTCACAAGACCCAAACAAGCAGATTCTGGCCTCACGGTGCCCTGTACTTCTTTTTTTTTTTTTTTTTTTTTTTTTTTTTTTTTTTTTTAAAGATTTTATTGGGGAATTGGGGAAGGGGAACAGCCAAGTTGTACTTCTTGCTAAGCAGCTCCAAGCCTGGAAGTTGGCCTCTGTTCACGGTTCACAGACACCTCTCAAGTGCAGAGCAGGTGGCTGCCACCTGCAGATTGCTTTGTGGCTCTTGTGAGGTGACCTGAGGCAAGCCACAGGCTTCGGGGGAACTTGGCCTGCAGTGGGGCCTCTCAGAGGAGGCCCCGGGGCTGGTACGCCTAGAACCACCCAGCTGTTTCCATAGGCAACACACCCAAAGGGGACACTGGACAGGCACCAGAGTCCTGCTAAAGCAAATCCTGCTCCAAAGCATCAGTCCCTACACAATAGCTCCTCCACTGTAGTCAGCCAGTCCTCACAACCAATCTGCCCAAGGGTCAATCCCTTCTATTGAAGTGCAAGCAGCCACCAAGGTTCAATTACAACATGAGGGCACAGACAACCCACACAAGTGACACCCCTGAAGCACACAACTCAGGTGACCAAGGAGATTGTGCCACTAGGCCCCACAGGACACCTACTAAATAAGGCCACTCTACTAAGACTGGGAGACACAAAGTCCTACCTAATACATAGAAACAAACACAGGGAGGCAGCCAAAATGGGGAGACAAAGAAACATGTCCCAAATGAAAAAACAGAACAAAGCTCCAGAAAAAAAACTAAGCAAAATGGAGACAAGCAATCTACTAGATGCAGAGTTCAAAACACTGGTTATAAGGATGCTCAATGATCTCAGGGAGAACTTCAACAAAGAGACAGAAAACATAAAAATAATGATAGAAAACATAAAAAAAAAGTCAGAAATGAAGAATAAAATAACTGAAATAAAGCATACATTACAGGGAATCAAGAGATTAGATGAAGCAGAGCAATTCTAAGGTATCAGCGATTTAGAAGATAAGGTAGCAGAAAACATCCAATCAGAACAGCAAAAAAAAAAAAAGAATTAAAAAAAAATGAGGATAGTTTAAGGGGCCTCTGGGACAACATCAAGCGTACCAACATATGTATCATAGGGGTACCAGAAGGAGAAGAGACAGAGCAAGGAATTGAAAACCTATTTGAAGAAATAATGACTGAAAACTTCCCTAACCTGGCGAAGGAAACAGACATACAAGCCCAGGTAGTACAGAGAGTCCCAATTAAGATAAACCCAAAGAGGTCCACACCAAGACACATCATAATTATAATAAAATACCAAATGTTAAAGACAAAGAGAAGATCTTAAAAGCAGCAAGAGAAAAGCAGTTAGTTACCTATGAGGGGGCTCCCATAAGACTGCCAGCCAATTTCTCAATAGAAACTTTGGATGCCAGAAGGGACTGGCATGAAATATTCAAAGTGATAAAAAGCAGGACCTACAACCAAGATTACTGTACCGAGCAAAGCTATCATTTAGAATTGAAGGACAGATAAAGAACTTTCCAGAAAAGAAAAAGCTAAAGGAGTGCACCAACACCAAACCAGAATTACAAGGAAACTTAGACAAACTTCTATAAGATGAAAAAAAACACACAAAAACTATCAAATGCCTGTATATAAATAATAAAACAGCAAAAACTACATATCTATCAATAATTATTTTAAATGTATATGGATTAAATGCTCCACTCAAAAGACACAGGGTAGCTGAATGCTAAGAAAACAAGACCCTTACATATGACAGAGAAAGACAAATGTCATATGATTTCACTTATACGTGGAATCTAAAGAATAAAATAAACAAACAAAACACAAACAAACTCATAGATTCAGAGAACATTTTCATGGTTGCCAGGTGGAGTAGGGTTGGCAGATGGCTGAAAAAGGGGAAGAGATTAAGACATACAAATTGATAGTTACAAAAGTCATGGGGATGTAAAAGAATACAGTCAATAATATTGTAAAAACTATATATGGTGTCAGATGGGTACTAGATTTATTGGAGTGATCTTCTCATAAGTTATATAAATGTCTAATCACTATGTTGCACACCTGAAACTAATATAATATTGTATGTCCCTCTAATTGCAAAATAAAACAATTATAAAAAAAGATTAGAAAAACTTTAGAAGTTTACATGGCTGTAGTGTCAAAAATAAAGATGTATCATCCATAGTAGCTATAGCTACTAGAAAAGCAATCTAATGGATGCCCTTACAGTCTTAAATGAAATATTTTAAAAAATAAAAAATAAATTGCCAAAATATAAAATTAATAAATTATTAAACTGCTAGGAGCTATATTAAAAGCAATAAAAAACAGAATTCTTAATGTATACTTTAATCATTGGGAAACTCAGCTTCCCTTTAGGCAAATATTGCTCAAGTCATAATTCTTTACTCATTTACTTTTAAAGACATTTCGGAAACATGATAATTCTAAAACAAAAATAAAAGAGTAGGCTGGACCAAAGGAAATTGGATGGGGAATCAAGAAACAGAGGTCTTATCCCTGGTTCTCCAAATTATTCTGTGTGGCTCCCGGCAAGTCATTTACAACTCTCAATACTTCTACTCATTTCTTAGTGATGGAATAGAAACCAAGAATGTCTCTCAAGGGAGTTCCTCAGGATGCAAGCACGTTGCATATAAATAATGCTGTTACCCAAGTCCACTAGAGTTCAAAAAATGTTTTTGAGGGAGGAGACACAGGGCCCATCTTTAAGAAACTACAAGTAGGAGTTAAGAATAACAAAAATTAACACACCTTCAGATTTTGGGGTCGTGTGAATTTGTTGAGAAGTGCAGTTTGAATGAGCTCCCACCTGCTCCCTGCAGTTCGCTCACCGTTCTTTGAGGAAAAGGAAAAACAAATGAGGAAACCATTCGAAGTTCTTCTGCATCATAGAATCAGGAGTCAAACAAGAATGTACTATACTAAATCAGAAACTAAAAGAACATCAGATTTCTTCTTACCTCATCTTCCACAGGGTACAAGTTTTGTTCTGAACAAGGCATCTTAACGTGCTTGTTGTCCCACAAATCTTTAAAATGTGTTGGAAAAGGTTTAGGAACTTCTCCTGCTCGCAAAAGATCTACCTGAAATACAGGTTAACAAGTGCATAAAAACTAGGTGAATTGTCTACAAAAGAATCCAAAGAAAGCAGCCAAAGCAAATGCTATAAGACATAGATCAGCTCCTAGACAAGAAATCTTCTTCAGCTGTTCCCACTCCTTATCTCCATTTAATCAATTTCCAAGTCACCATGTCCTGGGCATTTGATCACCAATCTATTTGGGAGCCTGGTCCTCATTATTCCTTGCCTGAATTTCTGCCTACAGCTTTCTATCCCTCCCTTTCCCTAACTCCAACTGCTCCCAGAACATTCATCCCCCTTGAGCATCTTATGTCACTTGGGAATAACATTATCTTCCTCAAGTATTCCCAGGCTTCTTCTGATCCTATAACAGCTCCCCTCTGCCTATACTGATTCCAAGTGATGCTCCCGGTTTTCAACTTCCTTCTTATCCAAACACTATCTGGTTAAACATCTATTCTGACCTTCAATATTCAGTTCAATTTTCATTTCCTACAAGAAGTCCTCAGAAACTTTTTAAAAGGCAGTTAGTTTATTCCCCCATTTTATTAATTATACTAGAGCAAACTAGTATTTCTTTCCCCCACTAGACTCTAAACTTCTTGAAAATGATAACCATATTAACTTTGTACTCTGCATATTTATAACAGAGCCTGGCATGTGTTTTTATATGTATATTTGTATACATATATATGTAAATATACACATATGCGTATATATACACATTTGCTATTTATATTATAATAAGCATTCGATAAATGTTTGAGGAAGGAGGTACTTCAAAACATAAAAATTTTACATTTTGCCTATTCTGGACATTTCATATAAATGGAATAATATCTATTATTATTATTACGTGGGCTTTTGTATCTGGCCTCTTCACTTAGCATAATGTTTTCAAGGTTCATCCATGTTGCAGCAGGAATCAGTACTTCATTGCAGATAATCAAATAATCACATATATATGTCAACTGTATTATGCTATGAATGAGAGGTTCGTGGTGTTAAGAGAAGCTATTCTAGACAATTTTACTTAACTTATGCACATAGAGAAGGTTTCCTTGAGAAAGTGACAATTAAGCTGAACTCCAAAGGATAAAAAGAAGGTAACCAGGAAAAGGAGGGAAGGAAGATTGTTCCTCAGAAAGAAAACAGCTTATGGAAAGAAAGACTGTCAAATAGGCAGCTTCATGAAAAGTCTGCAACTCAAGAGAAATAAATTTTCAGGCCATCTAGGATACCATATAGGTAACCATTAAAACCGTAACTGTGGATGAAACTACCCAGAGAGAGAGTGAGAAGAAAAGCAGATGTATGAGAAAGCCTTGAGGAATGGCCACACAGAGAAGAAGAGCGAAAGGAACATAAAAAGTAACTAAGGAGGTAGGAAGAAAACTAGGATTATATGGTGTCATTGAAGCCAAACAATGAGAATATTCCAAGGAGGAAAGAACGGTCAAAAGTGGCTGAGTCATCAATTACCCTGAAAATATTTTCACCTCCAGATGCAGACCCCAGAGGTGATACTGTTAAAATATTCCATGTAATCTAGGTGATAAAACAGGTACCAGTCCAGCTTACACATAGGGGAACACATATATGAGAATATACTGTGTGTGTGTGTGTGTGTGTGTGTGTGTGTGTGTGTGTGTGTGTGTTCATCTATGTGTTTACAGATAATCAAGCATGGAATATCATGTCCATGCAATTTCAGATTGCCTTACATTTCTAATGCTAAATATCAGCTTTATTTTATTTAAATTCTGTAACTATTAATACCTGGCATCTCAAAAATGTAACTAAGGGCTGTTTACTTACTTACTAACTACTAATTACACATATATCATATTACCACATTCAAGAAAAAGAATCTACAAAAAAATATACCAAATTATTAAAACTCTGGGAATAGGACTAAGAGACTTAGGTTTTCTGAGTTATATACTTTTACATAATAGTTGCATTTTTTTTTTACAATGACTTTGCACTACTTTTGTAATAAAGTAAAGAATTTTATAAAGATTTTTAAAATCTGTAGGTCACTGGATATCTAACAAATAAATGCACATTGATTACAAAGATGAAGTACACAATGGTATAGGATCCTCTGAGTTTTCTTTATGGGTGGTGGAAGAAAAGGAGAAAAGTCACAATATTACTTACCTCCCCAATCAATCTTTTCTCCAAATCCTCACCATTAACATCTTGTCAGTCATCCAGTCTTTTCTTAATTTCACACACACTAGCAATGCCTCCTTTCCCTGTGTTAGCCAATATTTAAGAATTCACCATGTCCTATCAATTTTACCTCAAAACAATGCAACTATCTATTTTCTCTTTTTTATTTCCACAATTACCCTATCTCACTTTTTAAAGAATTACCCTATCAAACTTTTTACAGAAGCAGAACTGGGGCTGGCCAAGTGGCTTACTTGGTTAAGAGCACAAGTTCTGAGCAACAGGGACACTGGTTCGATTCCCAAATGGGCCAGTGAGCTGTGCCCAGCTGAACTGCCGCTGAGCTGCCAACAGGTGGCAGGATGGCTCAGCTGGCGAGAGTACATGCTCCTAACAACAAAGTTTCCGGTTCGACTCCCACATGAGATGGTGGGCTATGCCCACCCGCAACTGAGATTGAACATGGCACCTTGAGCTGAGCTGCCATGAGCTGCAGATGGGCTGACAGATGGCAACTGGACTTGGAGCTGAGCTAGCTACACCCTCCACAACTAAGATTGAAGGACACAACTTGGCTGTTCCCCTTCCCCAATTTCCCAATAAAATCTTTAAAAAAAAAAAGCAGAACTGTTTTTTCTTTAAGAAATCTGACATGAAATCATTAAAATCAAATAAAAACTGGTTTTATAAGCAAAATTTTTACAATAATTTTCACTTATTCTAACATCAATAAATGAGGATGACTATTTCAAGAAGTACAATATTTGAAATTGGGAGTTACGGCTGACAGCTAAAGTTACTATTTAATTCACATTTATATCTCTTACGCATTATTAAGAAAATCCTACTCACCTAAATAGTAGCAAATGGTAATTTTTTTAACTTATTTTGATGTTAAGGAAATTCTTCAGTTAAAACAGCAGTGGCAAGAGACCTTGATTCTATGAGCTGCACAAAAATGACTTCTCATGGTAAATCAGCTGTTTAAAATATGGTATTAAGCATTTTCAAAATTTCAAATTTGAACTAACAAACACAATTTCAAATTGTTTGTTAGTTCTTGTATTACAGGTTAAAATTCTAATTTAGAAAAGAAATTTGAGTCAACTTTCAAAAGAACCCCTGAACCACTTCCACACAGCACAATTTGATAATTACTATCTCCTTACTTTTCATCACTTATCTGAGCTCTTACATTACCTTTCCCTGTTTCCAATGGATCCTTACTGCAGTTTTTTGCTTTGTTTTTTAAATACAACTGTCTGATTACTCTTGCTGCAGCACAACTAGTGTCTGCCCAGACATTTTAATGATTTCCAAAACCTACAGAGTCAAGTGCAGCTCCTGGCACCTGAAGCCCTTTGTGACTGAACTAAGTCCACTTTTAAAGCCTTTTCTTTCACCACTCCCCATCTAAATTCTAAGCTCTAGCAAACCAACTGTTTTCCATTCCTAAAACACATGTTTTTCAACTACACAGCCATTTCTTATCAAGGTTATGTATCTGTCTGGAACTCTCTTGCCTTACTAACTTACTAACTTCACCTCAGAAATTTCTGCTCATCTTTTTGAGCTCAGCTCAAACCCCACCATTCTGCTAAACGTTGCTTCTACCTCTAGCCACGCTAAAGAAGTCTGTACTTTCACATATTTAATCATATCTAGACTAAGTTGTACCAAAAATGATTTTTTAAAGTAGTCCCTGTAAAATCTAATAAGAGAGACTGACTGATAAATGATGAGACTATTTTTAAAACTGTCAATGTATGATAAAATCTTCTAAAATTGAATTATGGTAATGGTTGTCTAACTCAGTAAATTCACTAAATATTATTGAATTGAGCACTTAAAGTGGATAAGTTTTATATACCTCAATAAAGCTGTAGTTTAAAAAAAGAGCCCAAAGAAAGAATAAAAGCTGTTACTAGGAGCTTGCAAGGAATGGGAAGTTATTGTTTAGGAGGTACCAAGTTTCTGCATGGGATGATAGAAAATTTCTGAAAATGGATCGTGGTAATGGTTGTATAACATTATAAATGTACTTAATGCCACTGAAATATACATTTTAAAATGGTTAAAATGGCAAATTTTATATTATGTATATTTAACTACAATTTTTTAAATGAGGTTGGTTTTAGACTTGTTGAGTTTGAAATATCTGTGGAACAGTGGAGATGTTTAGAAAAATCTAAAGCTCAGAAAAGAAGGCAAAATTGGAGAATGATTTGAGGATACTGAACACATACAACTCTGAATTTTAGAGACTAACCCAATACTTAACATGTAGTGGTGCTCAATAAATATTGTCAATTAAATATTTTTAAGAAGAGAATCCAATGAATTTTCTTAAAAATATAGAAAAATTCAGTTTCTTCATCAGCTGACAATGGTTCATGTTATGGATTTGTTAAATACAGTATTAAGTAAGCTATCATATTTCTACATTCTGTAGCTGTCTCAGTACTTTATACGAGGTGTGATCAAAAGATATGGTGAATGTTTAAATAAAAAATATTTATTACAGTAAAAGACACATTGTCATTAATCCCCCTCAAAATACTCCCCTTCATTTCAAACACACTTATCCCATCGTTCTTGCCCCTTTCTGAAGGAGTACTGAAAGTCCTCTTTCGTGTTTCTACTTCATCCTCTATCATGACAATGCTCCATGTCACACATTGCTTCAGGTACAGCAATTTCTGTCAAATAAAATCATGACGATGTGTCCTCAATCCACCTTATTCACCGGATCTGACAGTGTGCGGCTTCTGGCTCTTCCCCAAAGTCAAAATGACCATGAAAAGTAAACGTTTTGAATCAATTAAGGACATCAAGGCAGCGCAACTACAGACACTCATGAAAGAGAACTTCCAGAACTGCTTCAGAAAGTGGCAAGAACGATGTGATAAGTGTGTTTGAAGTGAGGAAGAGTATTTTGAGGGGGATTAATAGCAATGTGTCTTTTAACGTAATAAAATTTTTTTTAATTTAAACATTCACTGTATTTGTTGATCACACCTCGTGTATGCATGAAAAAAGAAGCACTTCTAGACCTTGGTCTGTTTTTCACATCAATAATAGTATCACAAGGAATCAAGACTTAGAGTCTTCACTCTTTATAAGTGATACGTAATACCTACCCGAATAGTTACTGTGTGATTGGCAGACGGTCTCAAGAGAGGAAGCTGGATCCCACACCCAGGAATTCTTCTCATCTCCTCAATAGGAGTTCCAAGCCATTTCTTATCTGGAGAAAGGTGAGGCGGAATGTATTTAGGGATCTTCCTGTCTGTTCTTTGATGTTTGATTTCACATTGTTCTTTTCTAAGGTCAAAACAAAAGTATTCAGTCACAAACCACTTATGGTTTAAATTCATTTGGACACAGTACAAAACTTACCCAGAACATTACTGTTTAAAATGTGCCAAGTTTGTTCTCTGTCCTTGGTAATTACCAAAAACAAACAAACAAAATACCTTATAAAGCATAAAATAAAACCCAAGAGCTTCAAGACCTTATTTTCAATAGTCTGTGGAAGAAATTTTCAAACACATGTAAATCTCTTTTTGAAAAAAGATCATGTAAGAATACAAGATTGCCAAATGAGTCATGGTTCATAATATCAGCTATTTCTCAGGACTCTAGGCAGTAATTTTCAATGAACTGAACTTATAATGACATGCTTGATTTAAAAACAAAATCACAGAAATTACAGAGAGTGGGCTTAAGAGTCCATATAATTGCAAAAATGTAATTTTTTACATATTTTTTGGTAATTAGACAGACTGGGATTTAAACCCCAGCATTACCACCCACCAATGACGTAATTTCAGTGAATTCTCTAACCTAAATTTCAGTTTTCTCATCTGTGAAGTGAGTACAATACCACCTGCCTACCACTCAGAGCATTAGAGAAAAGGCAGTATACAATGGCCTAGGAAAATGGCTAAACAAACAATAGTTACTACCAATCAAATATTTTTATGTTCTAATAATTCATATAAATTTCAGAATGAGTTTATGAAACTAAAAATCTTATTAACAATACTTATTTGTTTTGTTTCTGACCTTTTTGGAATTTAAATTTTTGAGTCTAGGTTTAAAATGAGCATAAATAGTTATGAAGAAACACTACTGTTGTGCCTGCCGAGTGGCACGTTAGTTAGGAGTTGGCTTGGGACGCCAACTCTGAGCAGCAGGGACCCGGTTCAGATCCCACATGAGGGCCAGTAATGCTGCACCCTCTACAGCTAAGATGGTGAACAACAGCTCCACCTGGAGCTGGGCTACTGTGAGTCACCAGCAACAGCATAGGCTGTAGTGGGGCTGGCTGGAAGCAGGTGTGAGCTGCCAGGAACCACCGTGAGTGACCGTCAAATGGCCGGCAAGCGACTGCCTCACCCAGGAAGAACGCAATGATACCCACATGGGCCAGTGAAGCCATGTCCTCTACAACTAGACTGGAGAACAAAATGACAGCAACTTGTCTGTTCCCCTCCCCCAACTCCCCAATAAAATCCTAAAAAAAAAAAAGAAAATCTTCACTTCTGTGTCTTTGCTTCAGTGTAAAACATAAATTTGCCAAGCCCCTTACAAAATTATAAAACACATTACACTACTGGAGACGCTCCTGATGGNAAAAAAAAAAAAAAAAAAAAAAAGAATAGACACACTTCTGTGTCTTTGCTTCAGTGTAAAACATAAATTTGCCAAGCCCCTTACAAAATTATAAAACACATTACACTACTGGAGACGCTCCTGATGGAAAAATTACCTTTTTTCCTCTGCTTTCGGTATTCTTATGAAATGATCTGTGATTTTAGAATCCTTTTTTCCCTGTTGCTTGGAATTTCTGCATTCTACATTCTGGCTGGAAGCACTTCCAGGCAATTTGACGTTTAAATCATTCATTCCAGGACGACTCTCTCCTCCTTCAAACTGGAAATGTAATCGAATTTCACCTCCCTTAGCAGAGGAAAATTTCCTTGATTCAGGGTTGGTATCTCTTGCTTGGAACCTTAAAGGTTTATTTGCTGTTTGGGAGGAACTGCTATCTTCTTGTTCATCAAAACCTGAACTTATTTGTTCATCTGCTTCGGAGTCCTGACAACTATTTTTGGAATTATCTACATCCATCGGTGACTCAGGCTCACTTTCTTTCTCAAATGGAGAATTTCCTAGACTACTTTCTTGTCTATTCAATTTGTTGGCATTTTTCAGTCCAGTACTGACATCCTCAGAGCCAATGTCTGACAAGGGACTCTCTGGTACCACATCTATCTCCTCCTGCTGACAACCTGCACAGTCTTCCACAAGATGACAAGACATGCTACAATTCTGGTGGCTTCTGGCTTCTCTGGCCTGTTCATCTTCTGTAGTCTGCTTTGCATTTGCAAGCTTTACAGGTATAAAAAATTGTTGATTGTCTCTACTTTCCTCACTGTCTGTGTCACTGTGATCATCATTTTGGGGCGACTGATCAACGTTAGCATTGCTGAACTGTTCTGGTACCAGAGTTACTGTTGGAGGTTCACTTTCCAAAAGCTCCTCTGTATGTTTCCCTTCATTTTGCCACTTACACATAGCTGCAGTCTGATGCTGATTCAAATACATACTTTTTTCAACTGGTGACGTATCAATACTTAGCTGAGAAACATTTTCTAATTTTTCCATGTTATGTTGATAAAAGTTATCCTTTTGTACAGAACTCATCATGGATTCTACTCTTGTATTGTTGTTTTCTTTACTATGCAAACTACAAGAAAATAGAAAGAATTAATATACAATAGAACTTATGCTATAATAAAGAACTTATGATGCAAAAACCACTTACCCAACCACACTCCCACAATGTCACAGCAACAATTAAACTATTTGTGATACCAGAGCACACAGCATGACCCATGACTTTGCATATAGGCCTATAATGCCCTTTCTCCAACTATGTGCCTAGCAAGTACCTACCAGAGTGAAGCGTTAAACTTACTTCCTGTGCAGTCTTTTCTGCAAAGATAAAACGGGTTGTTTGTTATATATGCTAACTACCACTGTACCTTATTATACCTTTGCTGTTGCGTTTATCACACTATGTAATATAGCAAATCCACAAATAACATTGTTTCATTCAGTGTCATTTTGTTATAATGTTTATAATGTGCAGCTGGAACTTAAGTTTTTTTTTTTTAAAGATTTTATTGGGGAATTGGGGGAAGGGGAACAGACAAGTTGCTGTCCTTTTGTTCTTCAGTCTAGTTGTGGAGGACGTTGCT